AAAATGGCAAAAGTGCGTGCTCCATCTGAGCAAATCATGGGTGTTGCATGTTACTGTTTCCTCCCTCCTGCATCTTCAGAAAGGCGTATCTGGCCTCCACGTTTCCAGAGCTGCTGGACATGCCTTTGCCTTGCGGAGTGGATGGACCTAGCTCCATCAGGCTGGAGTTTAAACTCCAAGTAGCAATGGTAGGCTGGAAATCCATGGTAAAGTAATGGTGGGGGAGCAGCCTGGAGCACATTTCCCCCTCCCCATATCTCACCTCTACCTCCTAGTACCAAGGACTAAACCAATGCAGCCCTTGTGAGAGCTGACTGGAGTCCTGAGCAGATAGTCAACCAGCTTTTCTGCAGCAGTCAGCTGCAAGTCTGCACTCTAGCTTCTGAGCTGCAGCAGTGACCAGGAAAGTGGAGGAGGAAGTCTTCTGGGGAACTTCTCTGTGGTAGGAAGATCCCCAGGTATGCAAGTGTGGAAGGGAACAGTATGCTGGGTCTCATCTTTTAGTTCACATATTGTCTGGAAGTGAGTGGCGGTTTCAAAAGAGATCTGACTGTCCATATAGATGGTCTTTTTCCCCTACCCACTGGATTTTTTTTTTTTGCCTACAATGTGAGCCTGGGAGTTTTGGTGAGTTACTGTGGAGGCAACAAGCCACTGTGCATTACCCTGATTGAGCAGGGGTTTTGGACTAGATAATCTCCACAGGTCTCTTTCAACCTCAACTGTTCTGTGATTCTGTGGCATACTTCTGACTTTGCAACTGCTGCCCTTATGAGGATAGGGAGAAAACATATGAATCACCAAGCCCGTCCATCTGAAATCTCTAGAGGATGGGAGCTTGCTGTAGCCATCCAAGTTTGGCTAAGTAGGATTAATAACTTTCTGACAGTGATTGTGATTTGAATTGGCACTGGACTTTGGTGTGGAAAGGAACCATTTTAACCACAAAAAAATACTATGCAAATTTGGGTATCCCAGAATACACCCACTATTCTGTGCACAGATGGACCTAGCCAAGATTACTGAGTAATGGTAGCACATGCCTGATTATGAGAGCATTTAGAGTAAATGTGAAGGAACTTGAGAAAAAAAACATGGCTTGCCACACAGTGATTGCATTAAGGGCAGTATGTTACCATTGTGCCTTTCCTGGACTGGGATAAACATCCTCACATGTGGAGCTGGAAAACCAGGCCAGTAATGCACACTCACATAGTGATCTTTGCAGTGTCCTTTGTACTGTTGCCGCAGAAAGTGATCTCAAGGTTTGTGACTATATTTCTTCTCTTCTGCAAGTGGAACTCAACCAGGCTGTGATGAACTAGGCAAAAGGCAAAGGACACAGAAGTGAGAGCAAATACTGCAGAATGGACCAGCCCAAGCCTGTCTTTGCTACTTACCACAGAATGGGGCTGAGGGACTGGTCATTAAATAAACTTTCACTTCCTTGGGCAGCTTTCTCACATGAACCCCTGCCTGCTCCAGCAGACCTGCAGGAGGAAATAAAAAGCCAGTACAGGTGAAAGGACAAACATAAATGACCTGGACAAGAAATACAACCAGTCACTCCTTATATGCCTCTGCTGACAATCTCCAAATGACAGCACAAGAGGGCACTTCCCAGGCTTTTGGGACAGTCATCCTTGGGGTGTCATGGCAGGTGCTTTGTGAAAAGGAATTGAGATAGCAACAGTGAGCGGTTTGCAGAAGAATGGAAATTAAAGCTTGGGCTAAAAATTCCAGTTAATTCTCTAAACAAGACAACTTTTCTTTTTAGCTAATCACCCTACTTGTTAGGCTGGAGATTCTGGAAACTGTTTCAACTTATTCTGGGATCCTATGAAACATTTAAAGACCAGAAATGTTCAAGGCATTAGTGTTCTATCTTGAGTAGTATATAAGCTTTCAGGGTTTCCCTGGAAGCCTGAAAACAGAACAGTTTATTGTCATCCTCAAATAAATGCTAACCAAACTGCTACAGAAGAAGCTAAGAAACCTGAACCATGTGCCATGCTCCGCAACTCTGCACTGAGATCTTCTCAGAAATGGATTGTCCCCTGCCTCGTGAAGGTCTTATGCTGGTACCATACCTATTTGAGGACAGGAGACCATGAAGGGGTCTACACAATCCAGGCATTGTCCATTTAAAAAATCTTGATGACTTGTGCAAGGGAATCCCACAATATGACAGGAATGTTTCAAGGCACTGACATAGAGATGTACTGCCCTCATGTGATCACAGATCAGATACTTGTAGCCTGTAATAAAAATATATCCAGGGAAAAGCAATCATGAGCAAACTGCTTTAGTCTTTCTGTATGTCTCTAACAAATCTATGATCAAGGAACACTGCTACTGTTTTTGCTGCAACTTTCTCATCAAGTAATGTTTTTGCAGAGTACCTCTGTGACTAAAAGCTTACGTACTTCTGCAAGGGAAGTCATGCAGGAACTTGGAATTGCACCTCCTACACTAGCAGAGTGATGCAGAACAGGGGAGGCACTGGGCTGCCTTTCCTCTGTCAGCATGCCATCAAGGCCTCAGGCTCTCTAAGAGTGAGTGTGATAACTCCAACTCTCACTTACACTCTGACCCTGCTGTGGGATGCATCCTGACTTAAGTGTCCCCAACACCCTCAGTGGAGATGGATCATCCAGAAGGTATTTGAGTATTCAGCCACATTATTTACTGTGTAAATTCCTGTTCTCTAGAAGGAAGAGGCAATAACTGTATAAATATAGAAACAGTTTGCAGCATGAAAACAAAAATGAGCTTTTGCTGGTAGCACAGCACAGCCTTTCCAACAGAAATGTTTTCCTTGTTGTTTTAAGTCTATAGATGCTAGGTTTTTAGCTCATATAGACGTGTCACCAAAATCACATCTATTGCCAGCAGTACTACTAAAAGAGACGTGACTTGTATGTTCTTTTTGTTCCAGCTGCTTGTTGTACTTCTGTGAGGAGATGGGAGCCATGAAGCTCTGTTGCCATGTGTCTTTCCAAGTATGTTATGCTGTTTTGATGCCTGCCTTGGCTGTAGTGGGAGCTAGTTGTTAAACAGCATTTTCATAGGCTGCTAAGTGGCCATGAAAGCCCTTCATTCCGCCACAGAGTGTTCTCACCTGCAGAGATGAATCGGGGACATCCAGGCTGATCTTTGCCTCCATTGATGAAATAATCGATGTGACCTACAGGTATTCGAATCCCGAAATCTAAAAGGAGGTGAAATTCTACTTTATTCTTACTCCTGTTTCTTCTGTTGTCTCAGGCTATACTTTACAAGTTTTTCACATGCCCTAGTAATTGAGTTGAATATTAGCCATGCTAAAATTGGATCTAGCCAACCCCCGCCATGAACTTTTTTTTCACACAGCAAGAACAGACTTCCCTTTCCTTCCTACATGCCTGCATTGTATACATAGCGCCATCTGTGGGCTCTGCCGCATGGAGCAGAAAGTGATCTTCTCAGCAAGTTTTCTGCTCTGGACCCTGCCATCAAAATCACTAAATGTGGCTAAATCACCATGTCTGTGACTCAGTTTCCTGGTTCTGTAAAATAAGAACACGTTCGATGACAGAAGAGAGTAGTCAAGACTGCAACAGGCTGCCCAGGGAAGTGGTGGTTATTGTCCCTGTCAGTGTTCAAGAAATGTGTACTTGAGGCACATACAAACGTGGTTTAGCAGGCATGGCAGTGATGGGTTTATGATTGGACTCGATGATCTTGAAGGTCTTTTCCAACCTATGGGTCTATACAACCCTAATGGGGGATTATGAGGTATCACAGAATCATAGAATCCTTAAGGTAGGAAGGGGCCTTCAGAGATCATGTAGTCTAACCCCACTGCACTCTCAGGGTCACCTACAGCATGTGGCACAGGACTGCATCCAAGTGGGTTTTGAAGATCTCCAGAGAAGGAGATTCCACAACCTCTCTTGGCAACCTGTTCCAGTGCTCTGTCACCCTCACTGCTAAGAAATTTTTCCTTAAGTTCCTGGGAACTTTCAGTGCTTCAGTTTGTGGCCATTTCCTTTTGTCCTACTGCTGGCCACCACTGGAAAGAGGCTGGCCCCATCCTCCTCCCTCTCTCCCTTGAGGTATATGCTCATCAGGTCCCTCTCAGCCCTCTCTTCTTCAGGCTGAACAGGCCCAGCTCTCTCAGCCTTTCCTCATAGGGCAGATGTTCCAGGCCCCTGACCATCCTTGCAGTCCTATGCTGGACTCTCTCCAGCAGCTCCACCCCCCTCTTGTACTGGGGAGCCCGGAAC